ATATGTCATGCATGATGACATTTATGTAGTATGTATGAATTTCTGATAAGTGACGACAAGTTTAATTTGTTACGCAGGCCTAGGGTTTCTTGTTGTCTACCTGTCATCACTAACTTCCAACTAAGGATTAAGGAAGCCCTTGGAGCCAAATGGCAAATATACCCTTTAAAATAAGCATCAACGCTTTTACTTTAAACCGTTATTTGCTGTTATCCATATATTTATTTTTACCTTTCATAAACTTCTATTAATTTTTGTTTTTTGGTTACTTTTTAGTTATTCGATCTAGCGCTTAGAAATTGTGAAGAGTGTATAAAAGGTAAAAGTAGTGTACGAATAGCATCATAACACCATCATTCTTTTTCAGAGATGATTATATAATCTCAATCTTCTAATTTACCTTAAATAAATATCCAACATTGTTACAGCCCAAAAATCTCACAAGCAAGCTCAATTCTATGTCGATACTTGATTATCGTGAAGGTGCCACAAATTAATGCGAAAGTGAGAAATTGAGGGGTACATTAATTTACGATCATGCTATGTCAATAAAATAGTAATTTATAAATAAGACATTTGTATAATCACACCAAGCCCATGAAAATCCATGCATATTTAGCATGCCAAGCCATGTTACATCATTGACTTTGTGGACACATCCTGACAACCACATTACATGCTAAAGTGGGTCCAAGCCACATATCGAAGTTTGCCAAGTGTGTGGATGGTTACGAAAATTTATTAAGCTTGTGTGAAACTAAGGTTGTGGATAAGTTCTCTCTCAAGCTAAATCGATGAGCTTTTAGATTCCATGTCACGCCTCACTTAAGCAAGCCAAACTTATCTTAGTTATTCAGTCTTTGAGCCATTGATTCAACAAGGATATTCCTAAAACATGCTAATTAATTCTTTCGATGTATCTCAAAACTTGATACCAAAAACGAACTACAGGAGCTAAGAGTTTTCCCCGGAGCCCAAATCAAACTCGATCAAAAGGTCTCCAACAAACTTCAAGAATACAATGAAAATTGTTAAAATTATTACTATTTACATATAATTATATTTTCATATCAAACAATGCACCTCATTTCTTTTTTCTTTTTTTATTTATATTATCTTATTCATAATGTTAAACTCAAGGCTCATCCAACAACTAAAAGACTAAGCCATTCTGTTATTTTAAATTTCGAGATTTTTTTTTCCGGATACAAATTTTAAGTTTCTCACACCTACTTAAACCCCAATCTAACCTAAAGCAAAACCATTACACAATTTTTATAAATTCAAGGTCATCCAGCCTTATAGCATGAGCTTGTAAATTAATCAAAATTTTAAATTGATTGGTTGCATGGAGAATAAGTCAAAGAGATGAAAGATCCATTGTCAGTCTCCCCCAATACTGAAGACAAGTTAAACACACCCAAGCACTTGGGTAAGGAGGGTAAACCTTACTCCTAATAAGAGGGTTAATTAGTTAATCACAAGTTTGTTCCACTTCTTAAAAATATTCAGAGGTACTTTTGTAAACTAATCCTCTTATTTCAATTTTATACATAGCGAGTTGTATTCGAGTAAAACAAAACAAAAAAGTAGCATGCAACTTATGAGTTATTTATTAAGAAAAATGTATTTTTCTTTCACACAAAAAGTCTCTATTAAAATCTCACTTAAAAAAAACCTTCATCATGTTGAAGAATACAATAACCTTATTTATAAAAATTGACAAAGTAAATTTTAATATACACTAAATGATTTCATTCATGACACCGATTTCTTTTGTAGTAAAACCGCATACCTTATGTTCTACAGTCCTATGTGTGATTAGATACTTTTATCATTTCAAGAGATTACTTGTATCTTTATGGAAACAAACAGTACAGAGAACTTATATTTCCCATCTGTTTATATGGTTGAGTTGACTTTGAAGGAAGAAATGAATAGGTCCTGATGGTTTATATGCGAACAATGGCGACTCAAACATATATAGGAAACTCTATTGCCCTGGTTCGTGGTGAGTGCTGTCTCTACTTGGAATTCAATTTCAATTTCAATACAGACTTTTTGTAGGACTGAGATATATTATATTATGAATTTGTATTTTAATTATATCATATGTGGATGTAGGTACTCAGCTTACATGAGATTACAGAAGATGTTAACGTTAATCTGAATATCATGAACGAGGGGATTTCATCAGCTCAGGCCTCAAGTACTACTGCACTTAATTTGATGAGTTGAAAGTTTTAATTTCATTACTTATAAATTATGTCATTTTATTTCTTTGTTTGAAATTGAATGTCTAATTAATTTTTTCTTATGGGTTGATATGATTTGGCGATGGAAGCTGCTGTGTACAAGTTATGATAAAAAAAAATAAAAAAAAAAGAAGCTTGGATTTTTTAAGGTGCGCCTCTCGCTTGGATTTTTGAATCCGCCACTGAAATTAGTTTAATTAAATGTAACTAGAATTGAAGCACAGTTGATTATATATGTCGGTTCTTTTTGGAATTGGATCCTCCTGACCTACTAACATGGGCCGTTGGATCAAAATTCAACGGTTACAATTATTATAATTTTTAGAGAAACTCTCTATTTGTAGCCGTTAAATCAAATTTCAATGGTCCGTATTAATGAATTAAGAGGATCATGGTCTCTGCTCAGGAGAGGAGCCAATTCCTGATAGGCTACGTATTATTTATCTACCTTAAAAAAGTATGAGGCTGATAAAAAAATAAAAACATATTTTAATTGTGGCCTTAGCCAATAGTGGCCGACCTATGGATGAATTCCGCATGCCCCCAGTATGATCTGTAGGACGTTGTTTGTTCACGTCCTTGCCCTCGCGTTAGGAAACCAGTTTCGTCAAGTTTTCTATAATTTTGATGGATATTTATGTCAATTTGAGTGAGGGGCAGGAGATATTGTATGATGTGTGTGGACTGTGGGCTGTATTCATCATTGGAAATGATTCAATTTATAAGAGCAAATCACCACATCCACATGGCCGTATCCCATACATGAGGATATCTGTCCCTATGAGTTATGACGGACAAGTGGCATTGTCGTCGTTTTGTATTTGACTCTTTCATGAAACAAGTTGATCTGATATCACGACGTTCTAAATTATAATGCAGAATTACTTTTAATATTCTCCTTATATGACTTTGTATTAATAGTTTCAAATATTGCATTCATGTTGAACTCGTTTCAGATAAAAATATCGAGACTGATAGAGGATATCAAATGACGGTTCCTGCTAGGCTGCTTGTCCTTGTATACACTTTTTTGCTTTATGTGTTTCTTCTACCCAAAGAATTCGTACATAGATGCATATAAACAGTATTCATACATGATGCGGCACCTAATTGAACAAGGAGGCTTTGATTTGTCAAAAAAAAAAACTCTCCTTACGTCTGGTTTCTACATTTTACATGAGACCTTTTTGAATATTATTTACCATATAAATATATATTTTATTACTATAATTGTTATATACGAAAGTTATTCCAGCAAAACAAATGTTTAAAAAAGGGTAATGATAGAAAAACTAAATTTGTAAATTAAATGATGTGTCACTAATAAATATGAACACGTTTATCAACGCTTATATAATAATCTAATTCTAACTTTCATGTCATATAGTTTACCAAATTTTATCTACAAATTTAATTTCCCTAACATTAATCTTAAAAAAAAAAAAATTATATGAGGGCATTTGTTGTACGGGATAGGCTTGTCTTGTTTTGAGTTGGCCTTATTTGTGCTTCATCTTACATGGCCTAAAATAAGCTGTGCTAGTGAAGGTGGCAATCCTAATTAATCTAATTTTTCAAGGACAATTTTATATTTACACTAAATGATAGGAGATTCAGATTCAGTTGCATAATAAGCCGATAGTAATAATTAGTATTAAACTCGTCATCTACGGGATTAATCTAAGACGTCCTACTTACAAGTAGTGACAAATTTAGAATTTGAATCTTGGAGGTCCCAATGTTAAAGGCCCAAGTTTTTTTAGATAAAAACATAGTACGAAATGCGTAAACAAATTTCAGTTTATTCATGGATGCATTTCATCGAATACTTGGTGACTTATTGTAGTCAACCGAACCATGTTGAGCATATGTCAATAAACATTGACATTTGCTGAAGTAATATGATGAGTGATATCGAGAACATTTGTCGAGTGTTGTCGTCGCAACCTGCTGAGTGCTATCGAGATATGCTAATATGCATTACATCAGACACTTGGTAGGTACAAAAAGTACCCCTTCCAAATATTCGGAGGGCCCCCAAGAACCTTTACATGCTTGTTTCATGAGTTATGTAAGAAGAGGAAGGTTCCGGAGGTGAATATTGGGACGAGGAGGAGGAGCATAGGTCACCATATTATTATTATTTAAAAGAAAAATAATGTTAGGAAGACCAAATTTCTAAATCAAATAATGTGGATTATTACTTAAGCATTGATTAACGTGCTATTTCTATTAATGACACATTTAGTTTGCAAATTTGGTCTAAAATTTTGATCTTCCTAGTAGCATCCTTAAAAAAATTGTTATTAATAGTTTTGAAAATTTTAACACTTTTTATAAATTTATTTTTTGGTATCATCCACGTGACAATATCTTATTGGACTTGTGAGTCCCGTACATTTGCCATATCAGCACATTAATAAATATTGTTGAAATCTTAACAGAAGGATCAAATTGATGTGCTACACCGAATCTCAATGACGAAATTGATCAGTTTTGAATTTGAACGGCCAAAATAAGGAGCTAGGTTAATTTGTGATAAAACCCTAATTTTATCAAAACATTTGGAGTTTGGCAACTTCGTAAATAAGGCAGCAAAGAGTGTCATTTAATAATTACATAGATGTAGTGGATCATGTATCATGATAATGATGATGACATAGTGAGATGGTATGACATGATACATGCATGTATGTCTGTCTATATATACACATAGGCATGGTATAACATAAGAAAGTTGGAGAGGAGAGGAGGGTGGTAGAATAGCATTTGACTTGGTTTCAGAGGAGAGAGAGAGAAAAGGAAAGAGAAAAGAAGAGAGAAGAAGAAAGAGAAAAAGGTAAAGAATGAAGAAAATTCAATCGAATCGAATACAATTTTGACGTCCGCAAGGACACAGAGACTCTCTCCCCCTTCTGTTTCTCTCTCTACGAACTCTTTCTCTCTCTACGAACTCTTTCTCTCTCTACAGCTCCCTAATCTCCCTGTAAAGCTAAAACCACCGAAAGACAGGACTAGTGCTCAGAGCCAACACGCAGACCCGACTGGGAGAAAACGGAACCCTAAAAGGGGGAACAGAATCCCCACTCAATTCAAATAAAATTGAAGCCGAACTCAGTGAATAATCAAAATTCCGGGTTTTATGCATTAGAATCTTGGTGGTTTTTGGGAAGTCTCTCTCTTTCCTTGTGTCTTACCGTTCGAAGTTCTACTGGTGAGTACAATCTACTATTTCTTGTGTGTGTTTATTTTGTGATTTTTATTCACTAGTTGAAGTGGTTGATTTGGGTCCGATCGATGCTGTTTTAGCCTACTGTTTTGGCATTTTCATTACTATTGCTGGTTTAGTTTTGCAAACTTTGGAAATCTTGAGATTGGTTTTGGGTGTGGAATTTTGGGTTTAACTTGTGGGGATAATCTTAAATGGGTTGTGTTCAAATTTTGTTCATTTTGTGGGGGTTTTTGTTCAATTCGTGAATTTTGGTGATTTGGTTCATTTCAGGTTTTTTATTGGTGGTGGTTTTGGTTGATAGGGTGGCAAATTTTGAGATTTCTACTCTGGTTTTGGCAGAGAGTTTGATTTGTTTGTTATTTAGCTTTCTTTGTACGAAGGCTGAGGTTATGGTGGATCTGAAAGTTCGTGTAATAAACAAAGATTCATGTGGAAGCCGGTCGGAGGCTGCTTTCTTGGTGAAGATAGTGAGATTGTAGAATGCTCAGAATTAGAGCCTGTTCATTGGTAATTGGTTTATTTGTTATTTGGCCTGTGTTTGGTAAAACCGAGCACGACATGCCCAAGACACAATGCTTACCCTTTTCTGTTGGTGCACAATAAAGACTCCTCAGCCTATGGCCTTGGATGTAGGGGTACAATGCTTTCAGAGTTGAGCTCCATACCCGAGTTTTTGCATCTTGTTATGTAATCTAGGCTTGTGGAATTCACGTTGTTTTAGATAGATTTAGTACTTTCACCGAGTGTTTCTAGTTTGTGATTTTGGAAATATGGTACCTTCGGGGCCGCCCACTCCAATTGGTGGTGCCCAGTCTGTTTCGCCTTCACTTTTGCGTTCAAATTCTGGAATGTTGGGAGGTCAAGGTTCCCAGTCGGCTTTTCCATCGCTTGCCTCACCACGAACTCAATACGGTAATATGCTTGGCAATGTAGCCAATGTGTCTTCTCTCCTTAATCAGTCGTATGGAAATGGAATTTCGAATCCGGGGCTTTCTGGTCCTGGTAGCAACCAACATGGAGGTATGGATACTGGTGCTGAATCTGATCCACTTTCTGGTGTTGGCAATGGAATGGGTTTCAATGTACCTTCTTCGTCATATGGTGCATCAAACATGGCTAATCCCAGTACGTCTGGTCATGGTCATGGTCAAGGTCAAGGTCAAGGGCAAGGGCAAGGGCAACAATTTTCAAACCCTTCTGGTAACCAACTGTTGATGGAACAACAGCAGCAGCAACTTGAAACACAGCATTTCCAGCATGGTCAGCAGCCAATGCAACAGTTCTCTGCCCCTCACAATACGCAACAGCAGCAGCATCAATTTCAGGCTATTCGAGGAGGCTTAGCTCGTGTTGGGCCGGTAAAGTTAGAGCCCCAATTGACAAATGATCAACATGGACAGCAGCAGTTGCAGTCTTTGAGGAGTCTTGGTCCAGTGAAAATGGAACCCCAACAACTTCAAACAATGAGAAGCTTGCCACCTGTAAAATTGGAACCGCAGCAATCTGATCAGTCATTGTTTTTGCATCAACAGCAGCAACAACAGCAACAACAGCAACAACAGCTCCTCCACATGTCAAGGCAGTCTTCTCAGAATGCTGCTGCCCAGATGAACATCATGCATCAGCAGAGGTTCTTGCAGTTACAGCAGCAACATAACCAGCAACAGCAACAACACCAGCAGCAGCAATTCTTGAAAGCAATGCCTCAACAACGCCCCCAGTTACAGCAGCAGTTTCCGCAGCAGAATCTGCCTATGAGATCTCCTGCAAAACCAGTATATGAGCCTGGAATGTGTGCTCGGCGTTTGACACATTATATGTATCAGCAACAGCACAGGCCTGAAGTAAGATAACCCCATGCCTAATTTGTTGGTCTTGTTGGATGATTGTTATAGTTAGTGATAATGCCTGCCTTTTATATAGGACAACAACATTGAATTCTGGAGAAAATTTGTTGCTGAATATTTTGTACCCCATGCGAAGAAGAAGTGGTGTGTTTCTATGTATGGAACTGGCCGACAAACAACTGGCGTTTTCCCTCAGGTCTGTATCTAGGATATAGTAATCTGGTGAACCCCATCTATGTTTGGTATCTGTACTAGTAAAATGATGTTAATTGCAAAATACATGCAACATGGATATTAGTATCCACATCTCATTTTGAGATCACTTTATTTGAGGACAGTGTCCTCAATGTCATAGTAGCTGTTACATTATTCAAAATACACTTTTGGTTGGTGTTACATGAATCTTGAGCTATTTGACATCATGACAATATTTGCCATATTTTGCAGGATGTATGGCACTGTGAAATATGCAATCGCAAGCCTGGGCGTGGCTTTGGTAATATGCAATCTCTTTTAAATACCATCTTTTGTGCCAATGTCATATCTTGTTTGGATAGACGCCAGTGTTGTTTTAATGCTCTATGTAGGTGCTTTTTTCATGTTCTTCTCTCTTTACAACTGGCATCTGAGTTATTCTGATCAAATTTTTAGAAGCGACTGTTGAGGTTCTTCCCCGGCTTTTTAAAATCAAGTATGAAAGTGGTACATTGGAGGAGCTTCTTTATGTTGATATGCCGCGCGAGTATCATAATTCATCTGGCCAGATTGTGTTGGACTATGCTAAAGCAATACAAGAAAGTGTTTTTGAGCAACTTCGTGTTGTTCGGGATGGCCAACTTCGGATAGTTTTCTCTCCAGATCTGAAGGTTGGACAAAATACTGTTTTCGTAACACCTTTTACCTTCTAGCACCACCAGGTATTTATCAACTGTCTCTCCTGTTCCTGGCAGATATGCTCTTGGGAATTTTGTGCAAGGCGCCATGAAGAGCTTATCCCTCGAAGATTACTGATACCTCAGGTTACTATCAAATTTATACTTTTGATGGGTTCTTTTCTCCGTTATTGTTATGAATATAACTTATTTTTCCTTTCTATGAAATATTTCAAAACAAAGAATATAATTTACTGATTTATTTAGAACCCTTGTCAAGTCATTGACAACTGGACACTTAAATGATTGAACACGATTAGGTGATGGGTTATCCTGTGCTTGACATTAAATTCTAGGAACAGGGTTGAGTAATCACATTGATTTTTTATGGATTGATTACCCTTATGATTTCATAACTAGGGAGTTTATGTTCTCTTCATGTGGAAAATCGAAAAAATTCCAAATTTATATATTCAACCTCTTTTTGTGTAAGAATATGTACATTATTTGGATGAAATAGGACTTAGTTGTATATGAAAATATTGAGAACTAATATTGAATCCTAAACTTATTACTGTTCCACCATTTGCTCAAGGAGCAACTGCATTTGTAAGTAAAGAGCATTTCATAGGATGCACCATCAGCCAAATGTTCCACAGTGGATTGGTTTAATGTCTTTTCTTGGATTTGTATGATTTGGAATTGGCTAATGTTTATATCTTGAAGTATCATATGGGTAACTCTCATTTGTATGCATTTCTTATTAATCTCATTCTGTTGCTGCATATTTATTGGATTTTCAAGCCTCCATGGCACCTCTTAAGTGTCGACCCATTGTCAATTTGTTATTTTGGGTCATGTAACAGAAAGGATAGGTGCTTATGCCAAATTGTTTACAGATAGTGCTTTTGCCGAATGCTTTACTGATAGTACTTATGCTGACTTTTAGAGCTGAAAATTTTCTAGACCATACCAAAATACATTGGCTCAAATTCAACTCTCAGTCTAATTTGATTAAAAAGTTGAGTATATAAGTATATATTTATTATTTAGTAATGTTATATAAATGACTTAGAAACGTCTGAGATTAAGGTCGGAGTGGGCTGGATTATGTCTTTTGGACATTAATCTCGATTTTACCAAACTAGCAAAATTCTTGACATTCCCTATCTGTTGCATGTGAGGCTAATTTGAGTATATTTACCAATCATATATTACTTTGCATATCTAATGTTTTCTTGCCTTATGCAGGTTAGTCAACTTGGTGCTGCAGCTCAAAAATACCAGGCTGCTACTCAAAATACATCATCAAATATATCTCTTCCAGAGATACAAAGTAACTGTAATATGTAGGTTCTTAATCTCTCCATCTCATTTTTGTAAATATTTGAGTGGTGTTTTTGCCTGACAAGGTTTGGGCTTTCAAATGGTTTTTCTTTTATAGAAGTTTGGCTATAATTGATGTTCATGCCTTGTTTGTGATGAGTGAATGTTGGATTGTCCTTATGCCTTCTTTTGCTCTGTACCTCTCTATTCATACGAATAGTCTCACATTTCTAGTAGAGACATCAGCAGTCAATGCTTTTCTTGAAGATGAATGCTGCACATTGCCCCATCTATTTATTTTGTTAATGTCACAAAATTGTATGTTCTTTATTACTTATATCAGGACGTCTCCGGAAAAAAATAAACTTGTATCAGGAGAGACACTACAGAGGAATTGTGCAATTATTGTGTTTTCGTCATACAGATCTAACTGATACAGTGAGCCTATGTGCAGAAATCACCTGCCTACATTTCAACCTTTGTTCTATGCAGTGGTGGATTTGTCTTTTTCAGTTCAAATGTCTAAGTAAATATATGGTCGGTTTAGAATTTATGATATTTGTTTAATTCCTCCTGTGTAATTTTGGTTTAGGTTTGTATCATCAGCGCGACAGTTGGCAAAAACCTTGGAAGTGCCTTTAGTAAATGATTTAGGTTATACAAAGCGATACGTAAGGTGTCTTCAGGTAATTTCTTATTTTTATCTCTACAAAGTTTATGTATCATCATTGGCTTTGAGATACACCTTCTATTTTGCATATAGTGCTGCAGCATTTGTTTGTGCTTTACAGCCAATGTTTAGCACCAACCTGCTGCCCAGGGATCATATTCCTGATATAAATTGTATGGTCATAGTTAAACCTGTTAAAATAATTATTTGCTCCTATGTTAGATGTATTGTCCACCTAAAATGAAGTTTCAGTTGTTTGCATGGACGCACGAGGAAAAGGGGGGAAAAACAAAAGGGGAGGGGTGGGGGGGGTGGGGGTGGTTTGGAATGATTTTTCTCATTTTCTCTATCTTTTCTATACAGATGCCATGTATTTGTAATTGGACTGCTTGTGCCAGAAATTCCTTTGTTTCAAAAAAAATTTATTACCAACATCTTGCCTCTTCTTCATGAAGTGTAATATCATATATTTCAAACAAATTATATTCCTGAGTTGGGTTCCTGTTTCAGATATGTAATTGAGGTTTCTTGTAGCCTGATTGCCCATTTTGATGTTTTATTTTTATTTTTTATTTTTAAATGTTTCTTTTTTTGTGGTTTAATGCAGATATCAGAAGTAGTTAATAGTATGAAAGACTTGATTGATTACAGCCGAGAGACAGGGACTGGACCTATGGGTAAGTTGATTTTGCTATGTTAACTAAATTACTATGATTATACAAATTTCTGTTCTCCTTTCTTCTTTATAGTCTTTACTTTATAGAGATATAACGCTACATCAATAATTAGAAAAATTTACTTATTCACTAACAAGACTTAATGAGTTAAAGACTTTTACAACTAAGACGTATAAATTTCTTAAGAATAACAAATGAGCCTACATTGGAGTAGATTGGGTACTTAGCTTTGCAGTAAAGCTTAAGCTTTAATACTTTCATTTGGTCACTAGGATTGGGTTGGACTGGATAACACATTATATTCAAGGTATATTGAAGGTTGTGGTTAAGTGCTTTTGCATGGGTGGTACCTACAAGGATAGGGTTCGAAGCTTGGTGGCGATGAATGTGTAACAACGATAAGGGGATTAAACATGAGAGAAACTCATCCCTTCTGATCCTACCATTTTGGGTGGGACGGGAATGGCCAAGTTTTGTGAAAAAGTAATCCGTCTTCTAACTTCAAGTTGGACACAAGTTTTTCATTTCTTCCATCAACGTACCCTGAATATAGTGGGTTATCCAACCCAATCCTAGACACCAAATGAGATCTCAGTTTATTTCTATTCCTTGGGATATCAAAGGAAGTGTAAACATAACTAAATGGAAGAACAGTACGAGAACTAATGACCTGATGCCTAGAAGTAAAAGACAGATTGGGAGAAATCTGCTTATGTTTGGACTTGGGTTGGGTTTCAAGTCTTGGTTTTAAGAAACAAGGATTTAGTATACGTAAACTGATTTTAATGTGATAAGATTGTCAAATCTTGACGAGAGAAATTTGTGGAAAGCGAGAAGGATGCTTGCTGGAAATTAAAGTATCGACTCAATTAAAGAGGTGATGTAGTCCTAGACTACTCGTAACTTGGACTTCAAACCATAGAGGTATTTATCTTGCCCTCAATTTACAATGCAGGCTGACACAAGTCAAAATCTTGAGTTTCTGAACGTAAAAAGTTATAAGCGACCTAGCTGTGTGATCTTTTCTTTCTTGTTTGCTCCGGTAATAGGCATTCACAAAATTTGTAATCTGCTTAGGACATGAGGCTTAAAATGAAATACAATTTGTAAGAATAACAGAAGGTTCAGAACGGATAAGTAGAAAGAAAAGCAGCCAAGAAATATATAAAGTTTTTTGCTGAAATTATGCTAGAAAAAGACTATGAGATAGGGGAAGGGTGTTGAGGAAAGAGTGTCCTGGTGAACAACAATGATTAGAGACACAAAGAAGACTGAAAGTTTATCTTTGTGCGAGTGAATGAGGCTGCTGCTGGATCACCAAGCTTCTACAATATACATTTTTTGTGTGCATAGGAGTGATTTTTCTTGTACTCTTCGTCACAGTTTTGTTTGAAGAAATTCCCAAATGCTTCATACCCCATATCAATGTTTGGAATTGTAACATAGGAAATGAAGAAAAAGCTAAAGAATATTGAATCTAAATATTTGTGCCCTTGCAACTGTAAAATCTAGATGAAATTATCCCAAACGTGTTCCGGTAAATGCAGAAAATCTGAATTGGTTCAATCAGGATCCAGGTAGTCCCTTGCCATTTAATAATTTAAACCAAGATGTAAACTTGGGTCTTTAATTGGGCTCTAGATTCTAGATAGTAGTTGTGATAGTGATTGGGGTGATTCATTTTTTCTTAGTACCATAGGTCATAGGGCCCCCGCAATCTGATTTGTGATTTTTACAATTACCTTATAAATATGTTTACAGACATACATTTATATACTCTAAATTATTGCACTTGTGTTCTGATCCCTAAAACTGTTTCTTTGCACGATATCATGGCAGTTTAAAGAATTATATTGTGGGCCACATGGTAGTTACAATTCATTATAGTGTTACAAGTTATTACGCTAGGCTCAATACTTACAATTCATTCTACGTTAGCAGCTCCGTCATAGTATAGGATTGGGTTGCAGTAGTTCATTACTATTGTTTTCTTTCAGAGAGCTTGGCCAAGTTTCCTCGAAGGACGAGTGCTTCATCTGGGTTTCACTGTCAAGCACAACAGTCCGAGGAGCAAATGCAGCAGCAGCAGCAGCAACAACAAACGATCGCCCAGAATTCACATGGAGATCCAAGCTCTGTTCAGGCCGCCGCTACGCAAATTGCTGCCAGTAATGGTATTGCTAGTGTAAATAATGCTCTGAACACAGCATCCACATCAACTTCTGCAAGCACCATTGTTGGGCTCCTCCATCAGAATTCTATGAACCCCAGACAGCAAAGTTCTATGAATAACGCAAACAGTCCATATGGAGGAGGTTCTGTTCAGATTCCATCCCCTGGTTCTTCTAGTACAATCCCACAAACACAACCAAACCCTTCTCCATTCCAGTCACCAATACCCTCATCAAATAATCCCTCTCAAACATCTCAAGGTGTCATGACACCTGCCAATCACATGGGTGCAGCAAATTCACCAGCAAATATATCCATGCAACAGCCAACCCTTTCGGGCGAGGCTGATCCAAGTGATTCCCAGAGCTCTGTCCAGAAAATTATACAGGAAATGATGATGTCCAACCAGCTTAGCGGCCCAGGTAGTATGGTTGGTGCTGGTTCTTTGGGCAACGATGTGAAAAACATGAATGGGATTTTGTCAGCAAACAACTCAGGATTGAATGGCATGACTAACAATAACTCAGGAATTGGCGGTGCTGGATTTGGGAGTATGGGTGGCGGACTAGGTCAGCAGCCTTGCATGGCGAATGGAATAAGAGCAGCAATGGGAAATAATTCTGTTATGAATGGAAGGGTCGGAATGGCATCAATGGCTCGAGAACAAAGTATGCATCATCAACAACAGGATCTGGGGAACCAGTTACTTAGTGGGCTTGGAGCGGTGAACGGATTTAATAATCTTCAATTTGATTGGAAACATTCTCCTTGAAAGGCTCCATTGATCATGTTGATGGCTCGTTTCACCGGTTCTTGATTTAGCCGCTTGTGCTTGCGCAGCGTGAGAAATGGCAGGAGTTGCCTCTGGCCTCGTCCAAGATGGCAGTGCATCGATTGAATGAAATAGTTGAGAGGGGCTTTCGCTCCCGCTGTGTACTAATCTGTTATTTATATATAAAAGAAGGAAATTTGGTGGCTGGTTGTGCCTGATGAGGCTCATGTTCTTGTGGTACCGAATGTACTTCAAATTTTTTTTTTTGTGCGTTTCGAAATATCATCATAGTAAGCATACGACACGTCGTTTTCTCGTAGTAAAAACGTTTTTTCTTCCAATCCTAGAATTGTATTTCTGACGTATTCGTTGGGCATGGTTTTTTGTTATTTCCAAATTTCAGATGGGAGCTGGGGTTTCGGTCATACATGTCAAAAGTCATTAGTTACTAAGAAAGTCGAAAGTAATTTGTTACCGTGATGGTGTATTTTTAGGCTTTCTTGGATTTGGTTACATGTAAGTTCGTTCGTTGACCTGCTTTAAGTGACAGGGCGATGAATATCACGAGTATTGGTGGCAGTGAATATCTGGACATCCTTGATCTTTGTACGGAGCTCAAGGACTTAGGGATTTGAGTTGCTGAAGAGGAGAGATTTGGACTCTTGTTTGTGAGAGATGGGTCAATGTAATAGCCTAATGAGGACTGTAGGGTTTAAAATGAGTGTTCTAGATCTCCGGGTCTGTCGGCTTCGGACATAAAGATCCGGGGAGGATCTCAATTCAGGAAGAGGCAAGAATGAATGAAAATAAAATTGTGAAAGTGAAAACAAAGCAGAATGAAAGTAATAGTTTCGTTTTTGGTGTTTAGTTTTCAGTTTGTGTATATTTTCTACGTTAGTTGTGCGTCATTCTTCAACTATTCTGTATAGAACAATAGCACCCACATATTCTCTCTTTATCTCTAAGACAGAACTAAAACAAAATGGTAAACAAACGAGCTCCAAATCTAAAAAGTGCTTAGCAATAAGTGTTTACGGAGTTTTTACTTCAACATTGATTAACCATGTATCTACTAGCTATCTCTTAATCTAGTAACGCATACTTTTGCTAATATATGAAGTTCTAAATTCCTCTCACTCGGAAGTGGTTAGTACAACTAAGACTACTAACTGCCTTTAATCTTGGAAGTTGTTATTGGGACGCTCAAAAATCATTTTGCAAATAATTTCCTAAGTGTTATTTTCTCTTCTAAGCTTCTTCATCGGAGAGCGGGTTGACTATTTTAGATTGTCAATAACAACACCAGTAATATTTTGTTAAAAGTTAGAATTTTCACTAAGAGAATATTCTAGGAGATCATGAAATTGTGGGAAAACTTGCTACAAAAAATGGAAATTTACGAATAATTCGAAGGAGAAGTTAAGTTGAAGAACACTTATGAGCACAAGATGGAGTCTATTATTTATACATGAAATTAAAGATTCATATTTTTCAAGGTGCAGACAATTGAGTGCACTCACCATACGTCTCTCTTCTCCCATTCTTGAGAGAGCACAGTGTATCTCCTTATCCGTATGGTGGCATGTGGGCCTCATCGTGTTGACTGAACATCTTCCCGGCGTACTCCTTGCCAGTGTCATCTCACCGGCGCATCATCGCACTACCACGGTGCCAAAACTCACAGAACTTCTCACTTGCATCACAGACTACTCAACGTTGAATCATTCAACTTGAACTCACAAGCTGCAATTCAGTCAATACATTCATTATATTGCATGCTTTTCGTACTATATAGATAATTTATGGTAAACTGATTTTTTTCTCCCAGTAGTATTGGGATACTGTATACAAATGTTGAACTTAAGAACATCAATGTGTACGAATGAAAAATTCTTGTGCGATGAGTGTTACAAGTTATAAAAAGTTGTCCTGACCAACATGATCTACACAGAACTATATAACTAAAGATTCGTGTAGTCGAACATGCAAACACTCAAGAAGAAGTACAACAATTCTTTTGTAAGATGATGATGAGGCGAGCCTTACGAATGGAATGTTGCTGACGGGTCACTGTGAGCGTAAAACATCTCTTTGCAAAGTAAAAAAGACTGCGTATGATAGATGTTTCCCCCATCCTTCCTAAGTGATAATATTGTTGCTTTCAATACCCCTCTAATTGTCCATTATCCTAAATGTGTTGCTATTTGTTATTCTAATCGCCAAATTCACACACACACACACACACACACACACACACACACACACATATATATATATATATATGCAGGTACGCAGAAATTACAAGACTAGAGTTACATATGAGGACTATAACTGACACGCCCCGATCCCGATGTTCCACGGGACATCGAAATGGTCACGTGCTGGTCGACACCCGAAGGTGACGCAAGTCATTTTTGAATGTAAATGCTAAGGAACATGTGGAATCATGCTAAGCAACTCAAATCTCTAAGTCATGTGGACTTAGAGATTTGAGTTGCTGAATAGGAGAGATTTGGACCCTTGGTTTGTGCGAGATGGGTCAGTGTAATAGCCTAATGAGAACTGTAGGGTTTAAAATGAGTGTTCTAGATCTCCGGGTCTGTCGGCTTCGGACATAAAGATCCGGGGAGGATCTCAATTCAGGAAGAGGCAAGAATGAATGAAAATAAAATTGTGAAAGTGAAAACAAAGCAGAATGAAAGTAATAGTTTCGTTTTTGGTGTTTAGTTTTCAGTTTGTGTATATTTTCTACGTTAGTTGTGCATCATTCTTCAACTATTCTGTATAGACCAATTTCACCCACATATTCTCTCTTTATCTCTAAGACAGAACTAAAACAAAATGGTAAACAAACGAGCTCCAAATCTAAAAAGTGCTTAGCAATAAGTGTTTACAGAGTTTTTAATTCAACTTTGATTAACCATGTATCTACTAGCTATCTCTTAATCTAGTAACGCATACTTTTGCTAATGTATGAAGTTCTAAATTCCTCTCACTCGGAAGTGGTTAGTACAACTAAGACTACTAACCGCCTTTAATCTTGGAAGTTGTTATTGGGACGCTCAAAAATCATTTTGCAAATAATTTCTAAAGTGTTATTTTCTCTCCTATGCTTCTTCATCGGAGAGCGGGTTGACTATTTTAGATTGTCAATAACAACACCAGTAATATTTTGTTAAAAGTTAGAATTTTCACATAAGAGAATATTCTAGGAGATTGTTTCAATGAAAATTTGTGGGAAAAACTTGCATACAATAAAAATGGAAATTATATGAATAATTCGAAGGGAGAAGTTAAGATTAAGAAGAACAGCTTCATGAGCACAAGAATGGAAGTCTTATATTATATACATGATTTGATTAAAGATCTACATATTTTTCAATGGTTGCAGACAATGTGGACTTTGGCACTGCACCAATAACGCTCTCTTTCTTCTCCCCATTCTTGAAGAAGAGCACAGTTGGTATGCTCCTTATACCGTACTGAGTGGCAGTGTTGGGGCTCTCATCTGTGTTGAGCTTGAAACAAGATATCTTCCCGGCGTACTCCTTTGCCAGTTCATCGATCACCGGCGCAATCATCCGGCACGGTCCACACCACGGTGCCCAAAACTCCACCAGAACTGGGTTCTCACTTGCAATCACAAGACTACTCCAACTTGAATCATTCACCACTTGAACTGCATGCAAAGCTTGCACATTTCAGTCAACTCACTAATTCCATTTATATATGCATGCTCTTCGTACTATATATATACATATATATATGGTAAATCTGCATTTTCTTTTCTCCCAGTAGTAATTTGGGGATTGGTTTTGACTTGTATACAAATAGTTGAACTTAAGTGAAGAACATCTAGATGTGTAGCGAATGAAAAATTCTTGTGCGATGAGTGTATACATCTTTATTAAAATAATTGGTCAATGACCAACATGAGTCTACACATGAACTATATACACTAAAGAATTTCGTGTAGTTGAACATTGCAAATCAACTACAAGAAAGAATGTACAACAAATTTCTTTTTGTAATGATTGATGATTGAGGGCGAGCCTTGACGTAATGGAAATGTTGCTCTTTTGTGATCAAAAGGTCACAGGTTCGAGTCATGAAAACAGTCTCTTTGCAAAGTAAAAGTAAGACTGTGTACTGATAGACGTTTCCCATCCCTCTAATCCTCACAAAATGGAGAGCCTTGTTGGCTTGGGTAGCTCTAAGTGATTAATGATTGTTGTTGCTTTCAATACCCCTCTAATTGTCCATTATCCTAAATGTGTTGCTATTTGTTATTCTAATCGCCATATTCACACACACACACACACACACACACATATATATATATATATGCAGCTACGCAGAAATTACAAGACTAGAGTTACCTTCATTGAGAGCTTCACGAGCTTTGCAAATGAAGCGGGATTTCTGTGATTTGCTGGAATGAGGAAACGATGAAGACGATGAAGAGAATTTCAAAGCAGATTTCTTCAAACCATTACAAATCGGCACAACAAACTTGCCCATGGAAGAAAATGGATGGTGGCATTGTGCAGCAGCACCAACTCTTGTAGTGCACACTGTGCTCAGCTGCAAGCAGTTCTCCAAAGCCATTACTTTCTCTCTTTCTTTCTTTATCTGATGTGGGAGCTATCTAGCTAGCTCTAATTTCACAAGTGAAACAATGGAACTTGCTGAAATGTGGCTTTTGTTTTTCTGTAAATTTCTACGAATTTCTTTCTTTGAGAATTTCTTATTTGCTAAAGGTTTGTATATATAATTTTGAATATTTTTGGAAGTGTGGATATTATACAAAGATTGTAAGGTGCTAAGTGTGCTGAGATGTATGTGGATAATATTTTCATGTACTGAACCGTCCAAATGCCCCCACTGATGCCCTCTACAAAAATTCTCCAAAACTCGAAAATTTCAATGCAAGAAAACTGCGAGAATTTTATTGGCATTAGTAATACGTCAAGAGGTGTATTATTTCATATATTATAATAAAAGTAGACGATAAAATTGTAATTTGAGTAATATAAGAACGTCAAGTTAAATGGTCATTTTACAAATATTCAAAAAATCGCCTTGAAAAAGATCCAAATAAAGGACCAAAAGTAAAATTATTAGAATTCATCTGATCTTACTGATGGGTGGACCATAGATATCTCATCAATTAGGCGGCTCCTTTTCTTCATCTTCCGCCCTAAAATCTATGGTCATTATCCGTCAGACAGCTTTGGCAGGATTGGCCCATTTAATTTTAACCAAATAAACAAAAACTAACTGCCGTTTCATGATGAACAATGCTTCGGTTTCATCCAAAAATATCTCCTGTAAATTGGGCTAATTGCATTTTGCACCACAAGATTTCGGGGTTATTTGTAAAATGAATTTTAGTCCATTACACCACGTGATTTCTGGTTGCACCAATTTAACAGTCACCGATAATTTTACCATTTAATTAGATGTTAAGTGTTGATGTGACATTATTGAACCCATATTTTAAATTCACAGTGACCATCAATTTTGTAAGAGAACTTTAACGAAAAAAATTCCGATACTGTTCATTTTAATTAAAAACCACTTTAACTCTAAAAAGTCAATATTAGTACTATTCAATTTACCCTTTATTTTGTTCTTATCATTAAAACTCAAAGATTTCAAACCCTTTTCATTAGTTTTCCTATTTCGTCAAAAGAAATAACAAAGTTAAAGAGTAAAAGTACTAAACATTGGAACTGATGGTAAACAAGTGCTTCAATTGTGGGTCAAGTCTATGCCACATTAACACTTAATACCTAATTAGACTGTAAAATTGACAAAAAAGTTAAATTTATGCACTTCAAAAATATGTGACAGATGTAACCGTCCATACACTAATTTTTTTTTTCTTTTTCCATGTCTCTTGGCCCAAATTTCATTTCAAGATCTTGGATGGCCAAGTGAAAACCCAAAAATCAAAACGAAATATCCACTCAGATTTTTGACAATCCTACGTGAACTATCACTTCTACAATGTTTATTTTTTTAAGGGTGTTTGTATCATATTTATTGGTCACCTCTCTACTATAAGTGAAACATAATATGTATATAAGATTCTTACTATACGTGAAACATTTTATGTATATAAGATTCTTACGTACTAAAAAAAATCAGTCAATAATATAGTCGAAATACCACTCCGAAGCATACTTATTATCTTGTATTCGATTATCTTTCTCAAAAGAAGTGTGTGCGATATTCGTTTTAAGTTATTATAAAGATTTTTATTTATCAACATTAATGTTAATAAGAAATTTTCACTAGATCTAATTTGAAACCCATGTTTCACAACACGTACAGCAAAATTCTTTACTTCATATAATTTGTTTTAGATGTTTAAATGCTCTTATATTTATGGGTGATAATACAAATATTTTTTTATAGAAATTTTTAAATAGTGTGAATTTATTGTTGTATAAAAAAAATGTAAATTAATCCCATGATTTATTACACTATAATTGACACGTCCCGATCCCGATGTTCCACAGAACATCGGGATGGTCACGTGCTAGTGCTAGTGACATCCTGAAGATGACGCAAGCCATTTTTGAATGTAAATGCTAAGGAACATGTGAAATCATACATATAAATTTCATACGAATACTAATATACTTAAAATAATATTCGACTGTCAACAATAAATTCGTAAAGATGCATGACATGTTCATAGCATATTCTAAATCAGATTACAACAGAAGGTAAGATAGAGAGTGCTATTACAATAGAGGCCAAAGAAAGAGGATCTAGCACGATGTCACTGGTATGGATTCCTTGTACGTCGAATCGTAGTCCACGTTCCTATGTCTTGCTGGAGGCACAAAACAAATATGAGCGGACCAAGTTGATATATATATAATATTGAAACAGTTATCAACATACCAACCCCCAAAGTTCTATGAAAACTAATAGCATAATATGTGATAGATTTTTGAAAACCCCAGCATGCCATAAAACACCACAAAAAGCCATCTCATAAAAGTGTAATCACTAGTGTATGTGTCCATTCTCAACTCTAGGCCCTATGCCTGCTTCCTGTCCCTGCGCCGTAGCCAGAGGAATTTGCTTCAGGCCCTATGCCAACACGTAAACCTTGCCCACAGGCGGAATAAGGACCACTAGGTAAGTACAAAACCATTGAACATAATCTTTCCAAACATAGGTACATATATCTCAAAAGCAACTTCATAGTATAAAATCATCCATCATCTATACTATAAAGAAATGTATGAAAACATGTTCTAAGTATTGTATTGTCATTCATCAGATATTCTACTAGAACATGGGTTTGATAGAAAATATGGTATTCCAAAATAAGCTTAGTATAGCATGATAATCAATTTCTCATAAAACGTTATCATTAAATCATGATTTTCATGTATGCATATCTAGCAATAAAATATACATTTTTAGAAGGAGTCCACTCACAAATACTCCGTCGTAGATGAGCAGTACGAAATAGGAATAACAGAATAGCCGCTAGTAATTGCACCTAAACACATAAAAGTTACAATTATTAAAATTATATTCAAACAGTTGAATTTGGGAAAACGAACGTAAAAATCGGGTCTAGGACATCAAAATTAGCCTAGGAAGGGTTCCGGACGAAATCAGAAAAGTCAACGTGAAAGTCAAAGGTCAACAGGTCGGGTCAAACCGAGTTAACAAGGTCGGGTTTGGATCCGGGTTAGGTCCTAGGGTTTGGGTTGGGCCAGTTAGGGCCCTATGGGTTTTGGTTTGGGGTTGGGCTTAGGGAATTTAGGTGGGTTGGGTTTAGGTTTTGGGTCGGCTGGATGCTAAGGCTCGAAGGCCTAAGCCCAACTAGCCTTAAGGCTTGAGACCTAAAAGGGTTTTGAGTTTCTAATTGGGCTGGGCACTTAGGCCTGGCCCGATTGTTTTTGGGTTTTAAACAAATAAATACAATTTAAATTAAAAAGAAAACGGGCCGAGCTTTTAAGAGTAACGGGCCTAGGGCCCAAATTTGGCATGGCCCAAAAGGCCTAGATTTTTGGTATCTCGTTGGGGAAGAAGGCCAGAGCCCTCCGAGCTCTAGTCACTGCCAACACTCCTCCCTACACTATGATTTATGTACCAAAATGAAGTGCAAGGTGAGGGAAAGTGTTTTCTCACCTTTGATTCAAAGTGGGAGGGTCGTAAATGGCCAGGATCTGGGCTCGAAAGCCTTAGGGTGCACCTGGGTTTTTGAGTGAGCTCCGGGTGTCCTGTGCTTCACGAAGACGAGGGAGAGTGAGAGGGAGAGTACACGATGGTGAAGGTGGTGGTGTTGTCGACGTCGGGGTGGTGGTGTTCCTCGGCGTGCGTGTGTCGAACGGGAATGGTGTGCGAGAGAGGAAGGTGTGAGGGTTAGAGAGCTGAGAGAGAGAATGAGATCCGGGGAGAGAGAGATAGAGAGGAGTTAGGGGGCTGCCGCGTGGCAGCGCGGGGGAGAAGAGAATCCAAATAAAGGGTCTCGATTAAAATAGGATAAGGGACCAAATTGCACATTTTTATAAACTTTCAGAGGCAAAACGAAATTACAATTTAATTATGGGGGTGGGGTTTCACAATAACAGTGGAGTCGTCAACCAAATCCGGCGTAAAGGATAAAATGATACCATCGGCCGGATTTTCACTGTATCAGGTTCCTTTGTCAAGGCTCGTAGGTTGGCCGGAAACTATGGAGCCTTGACACCAAACAAATCCAAGGTTTTTGGTGCAGGCTCGGGCACCATGTTAGGGACTCATAGTAGCCAAATTTTTTACTGTTGATGCACTAGTTACTAATGGGATAGGAGAGAGAGGCTTGGAGTTTGAAGAGTATACGTACCAAGATCCCTAGTTTTTTTGTTTGTTTGATACAAGCAATATTGGGAGAGATTGCTTCGAATTGAGCTACAAAAATTGGACATCTAAATGACAACTTCTATATCTTGTATCCTATGAAAGCAAGGCATAAAAATAGTAAAAGTAGGGAAAATCAAAAGAGGCATGGAGCTAACATAAGACTTAGCGCAAAATCTAGTGTTGTGGTATTCTAGCATTCATACAGTCAGACTCAACTTAGGCCTGATTTGGTACTAAGGTGGTTCTGAAAAAAGCTGGGAGCTGTTTTTATGTTTGGTAAACATTCAGCTTCAGTTTTTTTTCATAGTTTTGGATGAAAAAAAGCCTTAGAGCAAAACCAAATCTAACGTCTGTGGTGTTCAAACATTCATATAGTCGACTCCACTTAGTCAAATAAGAGAAATAAGACTTTGTTGTTGTTTTAATTCTTTTCTAAGCAGATTTTTATGTTTTGGGAAACTTTCAATCTTGTAACTTGGCAAGTGAACATGTTTTCAAATTCAAAAAATTGAAGTTATCCAGCAGTAGATTAAGCTTGTTCTTTCTATAATTTCTATCTGTGTTCAGATCCTTTTATGCAGCTATTGGTATAGTACCTGTTTCACAAATATATAACATGACGGAAATCGAGCACATACACGAGGAGACATCGCTCCATTGGATCTGTGAAGCGCTTTGTAGCTTCCCCGAATTGTGCTGATATGGGAAGACGCTATCTTTTCCTAACAGAGTCACCGAAACTGATAAAAAGTGAAAACCAACCAAATTAGAACCCAATTTGGTACCATCATCCCACCAAATTTCTTACGAAAATAAAGACATAATTCAATGTGGAGCAAACACACGACCAAGGAGACGACCTCGTAAAACTCTATTTAAGTCTGGCCTTTCTTCATTGTCTATGTTACAACCAAAGTACTTGTTATAAGACTCATAGCAAGCACTGAAACACCCAGATGTGGGTGGAATTCATGTAACTGAGTAAAGATTTCGTGTTTTCTTAACAATAGGAATGCGATAGTTACCCTCTTTTGAAGCCAAAGTAAAAAAAAAGCCGGTGAAAACTGCGTCCTCTCAGTTTGATACAATGGTGGCAGTCTCCAGGAGAGGCTGATCCTTGATGAATGCTTCCCAGTCAACTTCCCTCAATATTTTGAACCTTTCATCTATTGTCACAAACCCGGCTTGAGGTGCAATAATACCAGACTTTCCCGCTTTGTGCAGTAAAAGCACGCTAGTCCCCATATCTGGGCCATGGAACTTTCCTGTTAACAGCACTCGGAGAGGCATAAACAGTGATTTTCCCTGCAATTAGAATTTCAAATGAACAAAACTTTCAGTCCATTTCCCAGAAATGGAAAAATGTTTACCAAAGGTGAAAAAAAATGAATGAAAATGACGTCACCTTGCGCTTCAGTGATTTGCCAAAGCTCTTAACCCACTTTTGCCAACCAGCATGGCCTTCTTCAAGTGCACCAGCGAGCTCACCGCTGTCATAAGCAGCTATAAAACTGGCAGCAAACTCAGAGAGTTTGTCTTCTAAGACTGGTTTGGCTTCAGCACTGCAGCCAGGACAGAAAAAATCTAGTTATCATACAGCACTCTGTTAACATCAGTAGCCAACAACCATCCCCAGCTTACCATCAAAAATAACTTACAAGTTACAAGAAAACCAAATATTATGAACAGCAAGCCATAATTTATACAACTAGAAGTGGCTTAACCTAAATGAAACCTTCGATTTAGGAATTTCCACCCTTCCATTGAAATAAATCCATATCTTTTCCCATCTGAGTGAGAGCACAATCTTATACAAGATATAATATGGCCTAGCCCAACTAGGTTCCAAAGAGCGATGTCAGCTATTGATCATAAATCCAACTGTATACTTTTACAATACTCAGCTGTTGCTTGATGCCAATGTTTCATATAGAGCACTCTAAGTCATTTTCGCTTCACCCAATTCAAAACATAATTTCCAAAAATACCACTCAATAGGGAAATCAATGGTTATCCGAAAAGTGAGGAAACACATATCAAAATTGACAAGTGGACAAGCATTTTTTCATATTCGATTACAGAAAATTATATCTTAAATGCTTAGGAAATTCTCACAGTACCATTCACAAGTTGATTTTTCCAGTGAGCTGCAGAATGATAAAAACATAAAGCCAGAGTTTAAGTGCAATTAAAAATCACCTGGATAAGGTGTCATGTAAAGGATAAGATAACAAGTTGGAGAGGGCTTTATCTGAATCTGGTGTTAAATCGATCCCATCTTTGAGCAGCTCTACTGCCTCCTGCAAAATTGCAAAGTGCACACATGCTTCACTTTTCATGAATATAGAATATCTCTAGAGAAGTCAAATTGAACGTATAACAAAAGCAGTACACGCCTTTTCATTTAAGGAGAGTTTCAACTAACATAGAAATCATCAGAAAGTAAAGAGCCTCCTCTGGAGGCATATGCATCCACTCTTTGTAACAGAACTATCTCAGTACAGCAGATCTATTCTAAAAGATCGTAAACCACAAACAATTCTGTTTGTAAGAGAAGTATCATCTACAGCAATGCGGAAGAATCAATCTTGAAAACAAAAAGTAAGCTGCAAAATGAAAATGTGGAATAAATGAGTCTTACTTCAACAAATGAGCCCTCTGAATCGGTAAGGAGGCCAGTATTCTTCCACTGCTCACCAATAAGCTTTGTCAACTCCTCAGATGGAAGTGCTCTTAAGTGTTGACCATTCATCCACCTTTAGTTTGTAAGCATATGTTAGAGGAAAATATCAATAAAAAATGTCAGTTCTTCAACAACGCAATTAATTCAAGAATTCAATAAACAGCCTAAATTCTCTCAGACACGATCCACATTAAAATCATAAAATTATAAAAATAAAAATCTAGATGTGGGATATAATGCAAAACAACCATGCAACTGCAAAATGTTCATTCAAGCTGCTTCTCCAGGGAGGGGAATGGTACATAGAAGCAATAATTAGCAACCATTCTCGGTATATAGTAGATTAAAAGCCAAAATTACCTTAATTTGGTCGAGTCGAAAATGGCACCACTTTTGTTGACGCGACCAATTGTAAATTTCTCAACTATGAATTGCATGATAATATTCAAGTAAGAAATTAGTCAAACAAAACACAAAGGATAATTAAACAGCATGCAGAAGGTGAGCAGGAGATTTCTGAGGAGAGGATGATAGAGAGCGAGAGAGTGACAAAGTGACAATTAAAGAAAAGGGTACACTAACCTAGCTTCTCAAGGGTGAAGAATTCATTCTCAGTGCCATCACCCCAACCTAACAGTGCCAAGTAGTTCACCATTGCCTGGGGTAGATAGCCCATCTCCCTGTACTGTTGTGTTCTAGTTATTAGATGTCAAGACTATTTATCAATCAATGTTGACAAAGAAACTCTTAAATAAAGGAAATCAGAACAGAGAACGGTGGGGCTCAACCTCTAGGAAACCATGGATGAAACATCCTGTAGTCCAACATATTTATCAAGTAACAATAAGCATATTTATAGATAACCACCTGGCCTACAGAAGTTGCACCATGCCTCTTTGACAGCTTACTCCGATCAGGGGCAAGAATTAAGGAAACATGTGCAAAGTCTGGCATTTGGAATCCTAGAGCCTGTGTTACAATGGTATTCATAAAGCAATATCAGCTTCACTGTAAATGTTGAAAGATATTTGAAACCCTACCAGTAATAAAAATTAGGGCATGAGTTTAAAAAATTACCTTATATATTAATGCTTGCCTTAGAGTATTTGGTAAATGCTCCTCTGCTCTGAATGCAAGTTTTAAGAGATCACACCACATTAATAAACGGATGTACAAAAAATCATCAAACAAAAATCCAAAAAGCAATAGTAGTGAACGAAGAAACTACGCAGGTTGGCAAAAAGCACATCTAACAATGTTAAATAGGCTGTTCATATTACCTAATAACATGTGAGATGGCCATAGTCGCATCATCAACTGTGACGCAAAAATTGTACACTGGTTGACCATTGCTTCTCATAATTACAAAATCTCCAAGAGTGTTCAGGTTCCAACTGACCTTCATGACAACATATAAAGTTAACACTCTATACACGTACTTGAATAAAAGTTTGATAGTGGTTGAAGCTAATTAAAATTTCTTAGAAGTTCCCTCCTTTGATAGTGAACGGAACACTTTACCATACTAGGAGTTCCTAAGCGCCCCCAACCCAACAACAACAACAAAAAGATGAACTAACCTCGCCTCGAATAAGGTCATTGATTTTTAAACTCCCTTCCTTTGGCACACGAAAACGATATGTGTATGGAGTTCCTCTTTCCAGCTCTTCTTGTACTTCTTTGTCTGTTGCATTGGCCCACTTCCCTGTGTATACCGGTGGCAGTTGTTTTAGTTTTGCAATCTCCTTCATTTTCTCTAGTTCCTGAATAGAACAATGTTAAGAATGCTTACTTAAAATAGCATTGTGGTTTAAAAGGGATTCAGAATCAGAAAAGAAAAGGATTCATAATGCTAAAAAAGCCCGACAAAATATATGAAGCAAGTTTTTTTGTTGAACAATAAACTCGCACTCGTTTAGCCAAAAACAAGACATACAGAATAAATTGAAGGAAAAGAGAAAAAAAAAAAGGCAAGGAAAAGTAATAAATCCGTTCATGATTAATACTCCGAAGTTCCATTTGAAAATCTCTTACAAGCATAGTTTTGTTTCTAGGCAGTTTCTGATCATATAAATTGGCAAGTGAAGACATGTTTCAAGACTCAACTATAGAAGGGAATCACCTCACTAGAGCAAAAGCAGCGATAGACATGACCAGATTCTACAAGCTTCTCAGCATACTGTTTGTACAACAAATTTCTTTCTGATTGTCGGTATGGTCCATACTCTCCATCCACACCAGGTCCTGCAAAGTTAACCGAAAAATGAAATGACCCAGTTGGACACTTACAAGATAAACCCAGTTGAGAAAGGTACTAATCCTACCATCTCAAAGCTCAAACTATAAGGCATTATAATTCAAGTAATATCCAAATGCTTTCACATATACAGAGGAGCACAAAACCGGGTTCGATTAAAATTTAGGAATTTGAACAGGAGAAGAATCAAACAAGAAAAAGTTAACAATACCTTCATCCCAATTGAGGCCAAGCCAAGAGAGATCATGTAAGACAGCCTCCTCAGATTCCTTAGTAGACCTCTCCAAATCAGTGTCTTCAATTCTCAAAACAAACTTCCCTCCATTGGACCTGACCCAACACAACACAACACAGATACTCATATCGCATCAATGCTCAACCAAGTAAGCAAAAACCCGAAACGTTTCGGGATCGAAACCTGAAACCAAACGGGAAACAAAAAGAGGAAGGAACCTGGCAAACAGATAATTAAAGAGCGCAGTTCGAGCTCCACCGACGTGGAGGTTCCCGGTGGGAGAAGGAGCGAAGCGTACGCGTACTGGGTGTTGGGTCGACTTAGCAGAGACCGAGAAACTCCTCCTCCTCCCATGGAAGACTGAGGATTTGTTGTGGGATTGAGGGAAAAATGGAGGGAAAACATCTGCTGGGAAAGCTCTAATCTTCATCCGGATCTTGGGCATTGCAACCAAAGTTGCCATTTTTAATCGGCAATTTGGAGGATGAAGATGAAGATGAAGATGCAGTGAAGGCCTTCGTTTTGTTTGTGCTTTTGCTCAGCAAGCTATCTCGATTCGTGATTCTTGACAACAGACTCCATGTGGGGGAATGGAAAGCAGTTTTTACCGGATTTTAAATCCCAGCCCTTAAAATAAGCACAACCGTTTTGATGGTGCCACGTATGTAAATTTTACCCCGGAGTTTAAACTCCGACTAGAGGATTTATTAGCATTTGAAATCCCGGGCGATACCAATTTAGTGACTCATAAGTGTTTCTATTAAAATATTTGAAATTTTTCACTGAAATCGAATTTAAAATCTTTCAAATGCAAACTATGGTACTAAGTGGCTTGGACTGTTGAGGTTAAAAAAAAACTTTAAGAGTATTTTAGATATTGAAAAAAGAATTAAATGAATCATCACACTAAAATCTAACAGGAAAGCCTAATTACTGGACTAAACCTATTAATCAAAGGAAATGAACAAAACCCATTAATTCATTAATCAAATTGGATTCATATCAAATTTTGTTCTAAATAAAAGGGTTAAAATAAGTTTTATTTAGTAGTTCGTTTGAAAATATTTTTAAAATAACTAAAAACGTTTTTATTTTTATTTTTATTTAAAAAGCATTTCTAAACAAACTACAAATAACAAAAAAAATAATTTTTATAGCTACATATAATTAAGAAAGATTTCATTAAGTTTTTACTGAATAAAATTGTTTTTTTTTTTTTACTTTTGGTAAATCAATCAATCCATGCTCATATTTCTGGTTGGCGGAAGGAAACGAAGTGAACATTGCGAAACTGAGAATCCCAACTCAGCGCCAACCTAGACAGACTTGTTCATTTCTGACGAGATTTTCCCGGTGGAGATGCATTCATCCACAACCAACACTCCGACTTTTCCTCTCTAAAGGTATTTTCTTTCCTTTTTCTCTCCACCACCTTCATTTTTTTTTCCCATATGAAATACAATGCTTTCCATATTTTGTTCAACTCTGAAATTTGAGTTTTGTTCTTCTCTTGTTTGCGTCTGGCTTCGCATATTCTGTTCACCATTGTCCAGATTGCACATACTTGTTTTGTTATAATATTGATCGTTGAGGAGAACCCCACTTTGACACTTTAGAGTTTGAAGGCGGGATTTTGAGTGAAAAGATTTGGTTTTTGCTCAGAAAATACGAGTGTGATGGATGCATTCATGAGTGAAATCCTGTCTCCGACGCGACCCAGATGGCGAAAAGTGGCGTATGGAGGGATGCAACCTGGGTTTGATGACAATCACACGGATGACTCTTTTCTTGAAGATATGGTTATGAATGCCAATGTTGTTAAGAGGGACATTCTTAAAGTCATGCTGGATTCCGTTTCGATATCTCAATACCTCTGCATTGTTGCTCTTGTTGGTTTGGTTTGGACCTACACTCTCAGATCGATTCTTAATGAGAATTCGCTCTTGCTTCTCGATGTCACGCTTCTTGGATTGGGGTTTCTTGTTCTCCTTTTAACTAAAGAAATGCTTTCATTTAGTCTCTTCTTTCGTTACTTGCTCAATATCTCCTTTTTCATCAGTGGCTTATATGTTTTAGCTCCCATCTATCAAACGCTCACCACATCCATCAGCTCAAACTCCATTTGGGCAGTAACAGTGTCACTCATTGTGCTCCATCTCTTCCTCCATGACTATTCTGGGTCCACCGTAAGAGCTCCCGGGGCTCTACACAATCCAACCTTGACGAGTTGCATCTCTTTGAATGCTTCAGTGGTGGCCTCAGTATTCATTGCTTCGTGCCTTAGGTCAAGGCTGCTTGTTTTCGCTATCATGCTTTTCTCTTTGCAAGTTTTCCTTTTCGCTCCTTTGGTTACTTACTGTATCAAGAAGTATTCCTTCTGTCTGCACCTTTGGTTTTCTTTTGGTCTGATGATTGCGACCTTGACTCTTGTTTATACCTTGCATCTGTTACTTTTTGTGATGTTGTTAGGGTTGTTGATTTTTGTAACTGTGGTTTGTCCGTATTGGCTTATACGGATGCAAGAATACAAGTTTGAGATCAATGGTCCTTGGGATGAGGCTAAACTTTGTTTTGATATAACTGATTGAGACTTTTGTGCTGTATTTCTGATAGCTTTTGAAGATCAATAAAGGAAGCAATTGACTCATTATTTTCAGCCATTTTAATTTGCATAGCAACATGCATTCTACCATTTGTTGCCGATAGACTTCGGAGCATTCAAATATCTTTACTTTCAAGGAGATTAAAGTTGGGATAAGTTAGACTGATGTTATTAAATAAAGTCATTACTTTCAAGTGATTCATACGCACTTGTGCTCTGTTTTTGGTGGCCTGGGGCTGGGATATAATCTAAAGTTCTGGAGGGACATTACAATGGCAGGAAAGCTCACACGGTAATTTGATATAGTCCATTATGTTCGTAGTTCATGGGGTATTTTGGCGGGCACTTTAGTTTTTCTTCATGATGTCATTTGCTGTACTTTTGTTGAAAGACATTCAATGGTAGAGTGTAAAAAGTATACTTCTATAAAACTTTAATCTTTTGAATACCATCTGCCCAATAATCAATGTGGAGGTACAATATGTGTAAGGTTGTTCAAAGAAGTACATCTGGGTTGGGTTATTTTGGATGGATGCTATTCTCTCTTTTGTGAGAGGCATAAGGTGGTGGCTGGTGGGAAAAAGGTAAAAGTGGCATTGAACTGGTGTGTGCTGATGGTTAATTAGGTAATTTGGTTGGATAGTAAGAAGTGGATTTTTGAGAATTATAGTAGGCTGGGGTGGAGTTTCATTTGATCTTGACTTTGGGCTTTAGTTTCATCCATATGCAGGTTGTTCCACTTTCTTTTACAATTCAGATTGGATAGCAGCAGTTATGTAATAGTTTAGTTTTAAACGGGGTTTGTATTATGGTAAGAAATCTGATGGGTTTTGTTGTTTTGAGTGCAGTGTGTTTACTTGTCAGTGTGATTGTACATTATCATTGCTTTTTAATAATATTATTCTTGTTTCTTATAAAGAAGATAAAAGTCAGTCAGTCTGTTAATCATCTGTGCACACATGTAATTGTGCTGATATCAGTTTTGACCATCACTTGTTAATTTTCATTGGCCAAAGAAAGAAGCAGACAAATGAATTGAAATAGATTGTGATACATAAAGAGGCGACCCTGAGCCAACAAGGCTCCCACTTTGTTGTTTTGGTGGGGGGATAACGTCTATCGTCCTTGCAAAGAGGTTGTTTCCATGACTCGAACCCATGACCTTGGGTTACAAAGAAGCTACCTTTCCGTTGTGCCAAGGTTCGCCCTCATTGTGATGCATAATAATTAGAAATATATCAGTATTTGCCATTACTTGTTGGGCTACTTGTATTTATCTGAGATGATTTCCCTAAACCTCTAAAGTTTAAAAGTCTTTGCACTTTTCTTCTTTCTCTTACTGTAAATTTATTACTAGTTTGGTTAAGCAGTCCATTACAATACAAATAGTTCTTGCCTAGATGATGAAGACTATCTGATGAGACTAGTCAGATCTTTAAGAGTGATGAAGGCCTCATAGTAATATTCTCCACCTATTCATCTGGTTTTCCCTTCAGTCACGTACTACAACTTGTACAACTGAACTTCAATATGTTTTATATGTGACATATAAACCATGTCTTTGCTTAAATCATCGAATTTAACTCCACCAAAACAGTTGAAAACAAGGATGCAGAAGTACCTTCTCCTTGTCATCGCCCATCTGATGCACTAGATATCCACTAACTGGACAAACCAATCAAAGTTTCAAGAGCAACCATATTAGGAAGCATGTCAGTGGACGTCATTTCGGAATTCTGATCAGATAGCATGACCAAACTGTGGTATTGTACTGCATGTATTTGTTATTGGATGAGAGATTTTGAAGCATCCAGTTGTTATAATTAGTGTACTTGATTGCATGGATCTTTAGAAGATTAGAAGGGACATCCATTAGAAACTATGGCTTGTATAGATCTTATGCATAAGGACTTACAAAGGTTTCAGTATATTTTCCCCTGTATGATGAAACTATGGAAATTTGAAATTTTGGTGCGTTGCTTTTGCTTAAGTCCCAGATTTCTGCAATTCTTTAGCAAATACTTCTTTGGTTGTGCTAGTTATTACGTAGAAGGAACATTGTAAAGAAATCTTTAGGAACCAAGTCGAGCAGTACCAATTTTCTTTCACTGAGATATTACAGTGAACACGAATTTTTAAATAAATCTGAGTACAGTTTTATTCTCTTTCTCTTTAATTTTCTGCAATGTTTCTTTCTGAAGTTGTGTCTCCAACATTTTCAAGATAAAAAGAAAAATAAATGCTGATGACCCAAGACTGTTTTGGGATTTTTCCACCATATCTGGATTCTTTTATGATGGATGCTTTAAAGTTACCTTAATGTTTAAAATGAAAGTTCCAGAATAGGGATTCTTATAATTTTGAATTTGATTTTTAATCTTAGGTAAGTGAGCCAAAGAAGTGGTCATTCTTCTGGTTTGAAGAACGTACTCATCTATCCTTGGGACCCAACAAATGTAAGTACCTTGGTATTTTTGTGTCCTTAAAAAGAATTGTGCATGGTTAATGTTGTTGTAACAGTATATTAAAATATAAAAGTACTTTTGCAATGCGATAGATCTCAGGAAGATCATACTGCTTGTGGTTTTGGACATGTTACATGACCATAAAGATCATATCCGTCTCATATAAAGTCTTAGTTTTCATCTTGGTGTAAATTATGGCTCCTGTAGATTAAGTGTTCGTGTATCCCTTTCTCAACTCGGACAGTCGAGAAACAAAATACATGACCTCAGAAAAATCTTCATATTTATAGGCAATGCTTGTTCTCTAAAGTGAATAAAGCTAGTATGGTTGATCACTGCTCGGCAAAAACTTTTACTGCTCCTTCTGGTAGCAGTAAGTTAAAGAACTGATCTGTCCAGATTAAAAAAAAAGGGTTAAAGTTCTTTGCTACTTTTACTTTAATTTTCCGCTTAATAGAGTAGCAAGAAACAATGTTCAAGCGTGGTAAATTCAGAAGTAAAAATGCCCCCCTTGTATTCAAGAAAGCATGAGCTAGACAAAGGTATATACAGTTCCACTCTCTTATAAACCATAAGCAATCACATTCAGTTGGAATAGTTCATGCTAACACTTGAGTTCCGTTAATGAAACATTAATTTGTCTCATCTTTGAATTGAAATAAATGCCTTATTTTCTTTTCAAGAACTTTAAACTTATTTTCCTTCCCTATCTGTGGCCGTTTTTTCAATCTAGCAATAGCAGATATTATGTTAACGCTATTCTGTAGTGAGCAATTCCCTGCTCAGACATAGTACATAGCTTAGGTCTTTTTGTCATGAGCCTGCAGAAGAAGTAAGTGTCCTAGACATTTGAAGGAAGCCACCAGTCTTGAATAGTAAAATGCAAAGATTTCATTGAAACCAATCATAAGTTCATAACACTTATGCCCATATTAGACGGCGTGATTTGTTCTTTTGCTTTTCTCTTTCACTAGTATTGCAAAATGAGATTGCAGGGCTGAATGTTATTGCAAGGTTGAACAATTATGTGATGAGCATAATTATTTTGTTATTTACAAAGCAGTGCATTGCGACTTTAGTACAATATGAATCCTAGAACGCCATTGCGTTCGGTTCTGTGTCATGTCTTCTGTTAGATTCAAGTACTCTAAGTCTTTTCTTAGAGTCTCTTCCAAAGTTTTCCTAGGTCTTCCTCTACCCCTTCGGCTGTGGACCTCTGTCTCGTAGTTGCATCTTCTAAGAACGATAACTACATTTGGTTCTTAAGAAATATTCTAAGCTAGGAAAGGCCTGAAATTGAAATAAAGAAGTGTTGTCAAAAATAACAATTCCGGTTTTTTTTGGTCCTCGGATTACTCACTACCAAATTATCAGATTCTCAATACCATTTTCTTGAAAACTTGCATACAACGGCTATCCATCTTCCATCTTCCATCTTAGTAGTTGTAATCCAATTCATTCTCAGCTTAGTTTTGGTCCTATGATTACTCCCTCCCAAATGTGATTGTTATTCTGTGTGCAAAATAAAATTTCACTAAAATTTAAGGCTGTTAGCATTTATGCATCACAAAGTTTTCATAGCTATGCTGTTTTTAAAACCTTTTGATGAGCTCTTCTATTTGGTAGGTACCAATAAATTCAAAAATGCCCAAGAAGCAGGAGCTCAAAGACAAAAATAGAAAACAAAAAGCCATTGGGAAATAGGAAGTCTTTTATGGGGATATCACAAATTTAACAATAACATTTGTATGTGTGCAATATTGGGTTTTATACAATATGTACATCTCTGAACAACAGTCCAACTAAATTTTTACTTATCTGAAGTCAATACCATATTTCATGTGCCTTTTACTTGGGGGATGTCTAAACGATTCCTACCTTTTAATTTTAAAATGGCAGTCTCGTTTCATACCATAAGAAAATATAGAACGAACATAAAAATACCAAGTGTCGATTTCCAGTACCTCTCCCCTGCAGGATGTGATTGTCACATTTTGTTACTTGAAATTTGTTTCATGCTACAAAGGGTCCTACTTCCTAGCTTTAAAGATTAGAGCAAGAAGAGAACAACTCGAGGTTTGAGTCCCCTCTGAGGTTTAGATTAGAAGCTAATTTCATTAGCAAGTAAATGCCTCTGAGGTTTAGAAACTATGGCTTGTTTAGATATTAGGCATAAGGACTTGCAAAAGTTTCAGTATTTTTCCCCTGTATGATGAAACTATGGAAATTTGAAATTTTGGTGCGTTGCTTTTGCTTAAGTCCCAGATTTCTGCAATTCTTTAGCAAATACTTCTTTGGTTGTGCTAGTTATACGTAGAAGGAACATTGTAAAGAAATCATTAGGAACCAAGTCGAGCAGTGCCATGGCCCCTGGACCAATTTTCTTTCACTGAGATATTACAGTTAATACGAATTTATAAATAAGTTTGAGTACAGTTTTATTCTCTTTCCCTTTAATTTTATGCAATGTTTCTTTCTGAAGTTGTGTCTCCAACATTTTCAAGATAAAAAGAAAAATAAATGCTGATGACCCAAGACTGTTCTGGGATTTTTCCACCATATCTGGATTCTTTTATGATGGATGCTTTAGAGTTGGTTTAGTGTTTAGAATGAAAGTTCCAGAATAGGGATTCTTATAATTTTGAATTTGATTTTTAATGTTAGGTAAGTGAGCCAAAGAAGTGGCCATTCTTCTGGTTCGAAGAACGTACTCATCTATCCTTGGGACCCAACAAATGTGAGTACCTTGGTATTTTTGTGTCCTTAAAAAGAATTGTGCATGGTTAATGTTGTTGTAACAGTATGTTAAAATTTAAAAGTACTTTTGCAATGCGATAGATCTCAGGAAGATCATACTGCTTGTGGTTTTGGACATGTTACATGACCATAAAGATCATATCTGTCTCATATGAAGTCTTAGTTTTCATCTTGGTGTAAATTATGGCTCCTGTAGATTATGTGTTCGTATATCCCTTTCTCAACTTGGACAGTCGAGAAACAAAATACATGGCCTCAGAAAAATCTTCATATTTATAGGCAATGCTTGTTCTCTAAAGTGAATAAAGCTAGTATAGTTGATCACTGCTCGGCAAAAACTTTTACTGCTCCTTCTGGTAGCAGTAAGTTAAAGAACTGATCTGTCCAGATTAAAAAAAAAAAGGGTTAAAGTTCTTTGCTACTTTTACTTTAATTTTCCACTTAATAGAGTAGCAAGAAACAATGTTCAAGCGTGGTTAATTCAAAAGTGAAATTGCCCCCCTTGTATTCAAGAACGCATGAGCTAGATAAAGGTATATACAGTTCCACTCTCTTATAAACCATAAGCAATCACATTCAGTTGGAATAGTTCATGCTAACACTTGAGTTCCTTTAATGAAACGTTAATATGTCTCATCTTTGAATTGAAATAAATGCCTTATTTTCTTTTCAAGAACTTATTTTCCTTCCCTACCTGTGGCCCTTTTTTTGATCTAGCAATAGTAGATATTATGTTAACACTATCTGTCGTGAGCAATTCCCTGCTCAGACGTAGTACATAGCTCAGGTCTTTTTGTCATGAGCCTGCAGAGAAGTAAGTGTCCTAGACATTAGAAGGAAGCCACCAGTCTTGAATAGTAAAATGAAAAGATTTCGTTGAAACCAATCATAAGTTTATAACACTTTGCAGATGTCCATCTTAGACGGTGTGATTAGTTCTTTTGCTTTTCTCCTTCACTAGTATTGCAAAATGAGATCGCAGGGCCGAATGTTATTGCAAGGTGGAACAATTATGTGATGAGCATAATTATTTTGTTTATTACAAAGCAGTGCATTGCGACTTTAGTACAAGAAAAACTGTTTAACTTAGAAAGAAACAACCAACGTTGGAAAGGACCTTTACAGTTGTAATGTTTATCTCATATCACTTTCTGACTATATACATATGTATACAGTTATACGTATATACATGATATTTTTAATAGACACATTTGATTACAATTGTATACATGTATATATACACATTCACACAGATGGGAAAGAAGAACAAGAAGCTCAAGGGTGCTGAAAATGTTGAAACTAGGTCACGAGCTGCAACCATATGGAATGATCAAAGGGCAGGTATATTCTGTGACTTGTGTATTAAGGAGGTTCAGGCAGGACATTGTTCCCGCACTCACTTTAACAAACTTGGATGGCAAAGTTTGGTTGAGAACTTCAGTAAAGAGACGGGAAAAGAGTGTGACATCGTACAACTGAAAAAGAAGTGGGATTCACTTAAAGTTGAATGGAAAATGTGGAAGGAGCTGATTGGAAAGGAATCTGGTCTGGGGTGGAATTCCGCCAAGAATACCATTGATGCATCCAAGGAATGGTGGCATGGTAAAATTCAGGTTTGCAAATTTCCCTCTGGTTTTTAATGTTGTATTTTATTATATCATCATGAGTCCTTTCTAATAGGTCATATCTCTCTAAAATGCCAGCTGCATTGTGATTATGCGAAATTTCGAAACAAGGGCATTAATCCAGAGTTGGAGGAGAAGCTAGATAGGATGTTCATGAACACCACAATCAACAGGGATAATGTCATTACACTCAAAGGTAGTGGCAATGCAGATCAGGCAATCCCAATTGTGATGACCCAAGCCATAAAAAGGTCATCAGGGAGGGGGAAACGAAGAAAAGTTGAAGAACCTGAGACTCAAGTTAGAAGGAAAGGAAAGGTAAAAGTTGTCGCTGTAGGTAGGGGGAAGGTGAGAGGTGCTGCAAAATTGTCACAACAGAATGACCAACCTGCGGAGTCAGTTGACAGTAGTAGTTCTGTAACACCGATATCACAGGGTGGTCCACATGGCAGTAGCATTGCCGAAGTGATGCAAGCAGTTGGAGCTTTACCCGGGGTAGAGACCGGGAGCGAATTGTGGTTCTTTACAACTCAGTTATTCCTGTCTGAAGGCAAGAGAGAGATGTTCGCATGCATGAAAGATCCCGGCATTAAGCTCCATTGGCTTAATTATGAATATGCTGCAAAATAAGCCGGATGTATTTATATTATGAAGTATGAACATTGTCATATTACGTTGTTAAGATTACGACCTAAGGCGAGTGGCTGTTATCTGGAGAACTACCATACGTTTGGTTGTTACCGCTGTTAATTCTGATTGTTATCGGCGTTGGTTAGGTTGTTCTAATTCGCTAGCATACAACTACGAATGTATAAGTTCCATTGCTTTGGAGAGACTTAAAGGCTAAGCAATCGAGAATCGTATGTGTATATGAGAGAACATTGCCATACAGTGTCCAGGGACTTTCAGTTCGTAGATAACACAGCCTTAATACATTGGATTTGAGTTTGAGTACATACCAAAATACACGATATTGGGTAAAAAAATTATTCACAAACAGTTGTAAAACAGTTTACGAAATCATTCATTAGCTCTAACCAAAATTTATCCAAAACTAGTCGGATCTTTCTCAATCAACTCGAGTCTTTCGACTTTAACATGTAAGTCTGTTAGAAGGAATAATCCCTCAAATCGGCTTTGTAGTCGTCCATTTCCATGTCAGCTGCACACTCTTCTTCAGTAAGGGGAGGAAGTTGTCTGGTTTTGCGTTTCAAGTTATGCTTGTGCCACTCACTCTTGAAGTGATCCCTATACTGCTTGGAATCGCCCACGAATGCATTGCATGTGCTGCATCTGTTCTGCTTTCCCTCCGCTGCAGCATTTCCACTCCCAGTAGAGATGCTCTGTTTCTGCAAATCATCGCTCAATTTTAGCACAGGATCAGCCGAGTCCTTTTTCGATAAGTCAGGATCAGTACATTCTTTTTCCTTTAATGAACTGATGTTTGAGGAATCTTTGAGTGAGTGTGACGGTTCATCCTCATGATCATCATATTGATCGATAACAGTGTCACCCTCCGCATGCACAGAGAGTGCAAGAACTTCATATCTACCATGCAACTTCATCATCAATCCCTCACATTCACGATAAAAACCAGGGTCCAATTCACATATCTGCACAACATAAAACACAAGATTAAACAGGAAGATCATGATTACTCCAACAATGGTAGTTTGTAAGTAGAATGCTTAAAAAGTACTTCAACCTCTATTGTACTTTAGCATTACTAAGCAAAATAAGGCGGACAAAGTACTTCAACTTACAGTAGATATCTGACTTCCAGATTGATCTTTAGAAATTATGCTAGCATTCCAGGTGGTCAGCTTCTCTGAAAGAGATGAAAATTCATGGTCAGGAACTATGAGTCGCAATCTCATTGGAGACCGTTTGATTGGGAAGTGCTTCTGAAGCTCATGAATAACTTCCAGAGCCTGCACAAGAAATGGTAGTCTACATATTCAACACAATGAGACAATGCACAGTATAACCTAAATCCCATATGTTGCACTCCACACACACAGATATACCTCCACATATATTTGGATAACCTACAGAGGTTAACACCCTGCGGAAATGTGCACATGCATACATAAGTCTACTTATTATACATATAAGTCACCGAACAGTAACATCATGCACGTGCACACACATAAACTATGTGCATACTTATTTCCAACAACATGACACCGTGAAACAAAATTTGCAAGCTGGGAGACTCATTTTAGAATCCACCAATCTGTCATATCTATCGTAATTACATATGAACTGTTAAGATAATCTACTTAAATATCAAGCGAAAGTGCCAAAAACCACATCTATCAGGGATGCATGCATCTAGTGAACTCCAAACAAGTACATTCGTATGTAACATGAAGGGAAAGAGAGATTCAATCACCTGCTTCTTCGAGCTTTTATGTGGGTCTACAGCAAAGTGAATTTCATGCATTAGACTCTCAATCAAGCTAATAGTGTAAGGACGTCGGGTTTCAGGATTATAGGTTTTCTGCATAACAATGGTGGCTATGTCCCGAAACTGACTGGACAACTGAGATTCCCTCTCCTTCCCAGCCACTTGAAGCTCTCCCTTGTCCAAAATCTACAACAAGAAAAGCTTACGACTCAACAACACATTTACGAAACTAACCAACCAGATTAACAACCAAAACAAATTTGTTTCCCTGACCTCCAAACAAATCTTGGTCTGGTCATCGGAATCAAATGCGGCCTTCAAGTCTTTTGTCTTGGCAAGAACACCTTTCGAAACATTTGTGTAAACGGTATGCGATTGCAGTACTTCATCCAAATCTTTCTCACTGTCCCACAACATAAAACATCACAACTTTCATATATACATATTAATTCCTGCAAGATGTTTCAAATTCAAACTACAAAACTTTCACTGACATTTTCGTTCTTCGTTTTCTCAGTTATACTTTCACATATACATGAACAAATTTGCATAAACAAAACACTATTATGCAAATTTATTACACATTTCTCAACACTATTCTTCACAGTATTCAAAAGCACTTGCAGAAAATCTTGGTTTGATATTAATTTCGCATATAAATACAAATTTCTAACAAAAGAGATTAGAGTTAGAGAGAGGGGGAGCTTACACGCCAGAGCGCCATGAGAGGACCTTGTTCTTGTAACAGGCAATTTCAAAGCGGGTGCCGCGCTTTTTCAGACGCACCACTGCCACGTTCGTCAGCCTCTTCTGCCCTACCGGCTGCACCAGTGATCTCGACATTTCTGCAGAACTAATACAAATTGAAGTTCAGGAATTGGGATTTGTATTAACCTGCACTAAATATTAAAAAGAGAAATGGCAGATTTTTTGTCTTGAACCTTCATAAAGAGACTTTACTTTATCAAGGATTAGATAAATTGCCGATTTCTCAAAATATTAGGGACTAAATCAAGAATTAGGTGAAGGTTCAAGAAAAAAATCTGCAATTTCTCTTTTTAATATTTGGCAATTTAAAAGTTTAGCCACCATTCTTATCAAGAATTAGAGAATTCATATCTATTCATAAAGAGACTATACTTTTAGTGAGATAAAAATGGTGTCGTCCGTTGCACTAAAAATAGTGTCACTGCTACAGGAAAACATACCTGTTTATGGATTCAATTGAAGACGCTACGCGATCCCTAAGGTGACGTCCAAGGCTCCAGCACAATCTGCGGAGGCAACAACCTGTATGACAGAAAAAGTGAATCAAAATACATTTTTATTTACTCAACTCCTCAAATGAAATCATGAGCATTTCTTATAGAAAGGGAAGAAAAACAAGCCACTAATCTCATCTGAACAGCTACTGTATTGTAGACCAAATAGCTACTGTATCATTATAATTTAAAGGACTTGTGGCGATTCTTGATGAAGTGAATTACTTAATTCTAGAGCAAATAGCTACTGTATCTGTACTAACTATCAAAACATGCACAATTCAATACACTACGAAACCGAAATGATTAAACATATAAAATACCGAAATGATTAACATATAAATGACCCTCAATTAAAAGTCTTTAACCTGCCAAATCTAGCCAAACTCCTGAAACGAAAAAAAAAAATTCATAAAAAGTCTTTAACCTGCCAAACTCCTAAATGAACCTCAATTAAAAGTCTTTAACCTGCCAAACTCATCCCCATTCACAGGATTTAGGAAAGCTCAACTTTAATCTATCTTTTTACGGTCATTATGTCATATATATGACAATAGAATATAGATTGGTGCTGGGGTTGTTTTGATCACCGGTGCTTTTGACAATGAGTCATCATCATTTGGCATGCGGCCAATGAAGGCCAGTCCGAACTCTCGACCCAACCTTTTATTTTTATTACAAAGGGGTTCGATCGAACGTTTAAGATTGAGATTGAGTATAAATTCAGCTTGTTACAGTTGATATTCAATCCAAAACATTAATTTTGTAAATATTCGAACATCAATTTTCCTTATATTCCTAATGGTAAACTGTAAGCATAAATATAGAAATTAAATTAGGGCTGCTATCAATCATGAACATCCAATCCAAAACATGAACAAATTTCACAAACCCTAATCTAGAATTCAAAAATTAAATTTCACAAACCCTAAATTTACAAACCCTAATCTAGAATTCGAAAATTAAATTTTACAAGCCCTAAATTTACAAACCCTAATCTAGAATTTTAAAATTAAATTTCACAAACCTTAAATTAATTCCAAAGTTTACCTGATTTGGGGGAGAATCGGTGCACAGTGAGTGCACTGGATGAAGAGTCGAAGACTATCAGAATTTGAGTGTCTGAAATCTGGGAATCGCGAGAGAGAGAGAGAGAGCGGTGCTCTTTGTGGTGAAGGAAGCTTCCACCGTCGGAGAGAGAAAGCGGTGGCTCCGTGTGGTGGTGGGCCGGTAACTGGCCGGAGTTGAGCAGAGCTTCAAATTCGAGACAGAGAGGAGGAGAGGGCTTGGCGGGATGACGGCTGAGAGTGGCTTCAATTGAAATTAAATGAACGAAGGCTGGAGCCTGGAGAACCCTAACAATGAATGGACAACACAGATTAATTTTAACTATAATTAAAAAAATAATATATAATATATATATGTATATGTTGCAGTCGAAATAAGAATGTGATTGTGTAAATCTTAACATATTTAGAGATATCTTTTATATTTGCTTTAGTAGTTAATATCCTATTAGAATTGTAATCCTAAAAGGGTAAGAAATTAAGCTTCCCTACCACTAAAGGCACAATCAAGTGGAATAGTACATATCTCACAATTAAACATCTCCCTTCTCTCTCTATATCGAACCATAATTATCCAGTAAATTATAAATGCAACAGTATACATATATATAATAATAGTTGATAATATATATTTTTGGTTCGGTGTGAGATTTTCGAAATATCGAGAAGACAATCCTGAATCACATTCCGAAATTTCGGAATCAATTTGGGATAACGAAAATTTTGAGAATTTTGATTTGGGACATTTTTAATTTGGAATTGGTATTTTTCGATTCAGTTAAAGATTTTCGATAATTTTTTCCGCCCCTAGTTGGTTTACCCAAATATTAAAAAGAGAAATTGCCCATTTTTTTTTCTTGAACCTTCACCTAATTCTTGATTTAATCCCTAAACTTTTAAATTTAAAAAATAAAGAACTTAAACTTTTTTTTTTCTGCCGATATCTCCCCTACCCATAGTTTTTTTTTTTTTTTTTTTTTTTTTTTTTTTTTAAATTCAATCCAAATTAATGTTAATTTTTATCACGTGTATACCACTTGACTTTCTTTGAGAACAAAAACGTCACATCACTAGACATTTAGACACAAAAACTATAGATTCACATGGATTTGCACAAGTCAACATTTTAAAAATCGAGAGTTTTTAATTATTTTAAAGAAAGAAGCGCCCAAATTATCCTCATATGTTATGCACATATTTTCATTTAACATAAATTTAGATAGAATGAATGAAAAAATAACAAGAAGGAGAAATTGAGCAAAAACATTGGTTTAAATCCTTAATTTTTCAATTAAAAAAAATTCAGAGGTAAAAATCAAAAACTAAGTAAAAGTTCACAGAGAATCGGCGGTTTACTCGTATTAAAAAGGCTTCTCAAATTGTAAGCCTATTTGGGTACATGGGTCGGCCCAAAAGATATAAAAGGGTTTATACTGTCCCCGTCCTCCTCTCTCTGGGTTCGTAAAGCTTCACGGAGACAGTGTCGCAGAGGCCATGCCTTCTTCCCCCATTAAAGTCGAAACTTTAGCTTCGGAGGAAGAAGTGAGCTCAAGCAGCAACGCAAATGATGGCAACCGCTCCACTTTCTTCGATGTCTACGGCCCTCAAGTACTCTCTCTCTCTCTCTCTCTCTCTCTCTCTAATTTTGTTTTCTTTTAAATTTCATCGCCTTCTATATTTTGCCATGAATTCGTTTTGCGGCTAAAAGTATTTGATGCTTTAATTGTATTAGCATTAGCATTGAAAGTTGCAATCTTTTAGTTTTGTTTCGAATTTCGGTGATGTTGGCCATACCATGTATTCTTTAGTTTTGTTTCGAATTTCGGTGATGTTGGCCATACCATGTATTCTTGTATGAAGAACAAGTCTGCTGACTTATAGCTTTCGATTCGATTCATGGATGGTTAAGTTAGCTGTATTATGTACATATGTATGTATCACTTGGATTTTGGTTTATACCAGTAATGCTTGTTCATCGAAATACTTTGTGCGGTCTGATGGGATTTTTATTGAAACATTTGAACTCTAGTGCATTATATTTAATCTTATTTGCCCTTGTAGAGTAAAGCAGAGGTGATTTTTAAGACACCGGAAGCCAACTCAACTCTGAATTTGCAAGTGGGTACTCTTATTCACCCCTAATTTATGAACTCTTTGTTCTTTTTCTGAGAGGTGATAGGAAATTTTGTTCGATTTGAACATTTATTGTCACAGAAATAAGGGTGAGTGAGTGATGGAGTTTGTGTTGTGATGCAGGAGGTTCAAGAACTGGTGACATGGGTGCTTGCTGAAGGTTTCATGCCGTCATGGGTTTTTATTAAGGTAAAAGGAGTATCTTCTTTTCTAATAATTCCAATGCATGTATGGTTATGGATCAATGAAACCATAACAAACAGTATTCCTAAAAACAGGTGGAAGACTCGATACTGACCATACAAAAATATTATATCCATTAATAGTTGTGGGGATTTTAACCATAGATAATCTTAAAACATCTCACAAATAGGCAGATTTGTGAAACTGTTACGGAGCCATGTATATTTCTCAATCTTGTTGGCTTTCGTGCTTAATTTATAGACATGAAGTTGAAAGAAACATGAATTCTTATAGTTATTAATACTGTAATGTTACACTTTGCAGAACAAGCCCCTCATTCCCAAAGTGGTTATGCTTTATGTCCCAGGACTGGATGCAGCATTGTACTTAGCACATCGTCGACTTCTTAAGAGTCTCAAAGCTTTATGTAGCAAGCCAAGGCCAGTTTTAGCTCTCAGGTTTGTCACAGATGTGATTTTGCTTCATCTGCCCTTAATTTCCCTGTACTTCCACTTTATATATGGCTATATGTTTTGCCCATGCTAGCTGTATGTCAGATGGGATGCAGACGATTGATGCACTCCTGACGAGCAAAGTGAAAAGAAAGAGGGAAGAAAGTAGTTTAACTGTGGAGAAATCTAACCTGGCATCTAAACAAGGTATGTGACATCTTCGCAGAACATCGATCATACTGAATTTCTTGCTTTTATTGTAACTTTGCTAATTTGCATGTCAAAGTTAGTAATTGTACGGAAATCAAGGATACTTTACTAGGAGAGCCACAAGTAACCTGAAGTTCTGTGTATTTATAAACTTCTCCATTCCATTATGGCTAGCGATCCTCATTTGGTAACATTGGTTGTTTTAGTTTCTTGTACTTTTCTGAATCAATATGAGTGGGTGTATCCATGTTCAATTCATTACCAATAGGTAAGAGCAGAAAAATGTCCTATGTTTGGAGAGTCTCTCTTGGATTCGAACTGCTAGGAAACTATCTACAATGTTGTGATTAACAATTACAAAAGCAAATGCTGCATGCCAATCTAGATGGGGCTAGATTTTGCAGAACAACTTTTGTTGCTACCAGAGCTGGTGTTGTTGTCTTCCTGCTGTCAACTTTCACTCTCATATTAGTATTACCAAGTCTTTGCATGCATACAACATAAAAGTTTGTAGTGTAGCGTCAAGGTTGTTGCAGCGTGCAACATCGGAGTAGACCGTAAAAGTTTTTGCATATGGAAGTCTAGAAAAGGTTTGCCTTTTGTAATTCATGCACTTGATACAACATCAGTTCTGTCAGCATGAATAGAATCAAGATTTCTGCCAGCTTTCTCATATCTTGGATATCGGTTTTGTATTGATTGCTTAGCCATACAGTTTTTGTGTTTCTTAAGCTGTAAACTAATTTTATAACAAGTATGCGTCCCATCTGTCCTGTAAAATTATTTTAACACTGCATGAGGATCCTTTTAATTTTTTTTTCTGGGTTATGTCTACATGTTTTTCTGGTTTAGATGATCTATCCTCAGTGGACCTCATGAAAGATCCACCTTTCCCTATTACATTTTACACGCTTACAACAAAACAACTTGAAGACAATGGATATTGCTTCAATTTGCCGGGTAACAAGACAAATGCTGCTTAGATTATTAATTAGAATTTGTCTTTGATTTAATTTCTAACTAGTTCCTTAAACTCTTATTATTATTGATTATTATTTTTTATCAATGCAGGTTTTCTTTCTACTCTTCCGGCCCCTTCAGGATCATCCCACTATCAAATGCTAGCACTTGATTGCGAGATGGTAATCCTTAAATATCAATTTCGGAAGATAAGAAAGAAGTTTGTTAACAACTTGACATATAGTACTAGATAACTGTTATCTTGTGGGAAGTTCATTGTTGAGGTGTATTCGTCCTTTCAACTTGTTTTATACATGTCAGCTGAATTGTTCGGATAGTGGTAAATTTAGTTCATTTTTGTTATTCTGTTCTCACAGAGTAGCCATGTACTGATATCATCTTGGTTGATCCATTTTGTTTTGTTAGTGTGTCACAAGTGAGGGTTTTGAGCTAACAAGAGCAACGCTGGTGACTATGAAAGGAGATGTAAGTTTTAACTATTTTGTTTCCTAATTGTGCAAAAGGAACTGGATGTTAATCTGTAAGGATGCACAAGTTTCATGCAATTTTTTTCTCTATGAATTTATTTAAAGGACAAGTTGCATTTGTTTTCTGACTTGGCAATGGTTTAGTGGTCTTATTTATACTTGAATGTTTCAAAACTTGTAAGTTCAGTTGAATAAAACTTAATATCTGAGTGATTTATGCATAACTTTCTTGTTTGAGAAAATCTTGCTAATGTCTCTGAACTTAGGTTTTGTCTCATTTTAGTCCCTAAACCATTTTCAATATCCCTGAACATTAGGTTTTCTCTGGTCCACTTGTAGAGCATCTCTGATAGACTTTTAAACTTCTTTGGATAGCTATTTTAAAGAGCCAAACCAATGAAATCAAGCTGCAAGAGACTCTATATCCCACTCTTTATTTTAGTTTTTGTGAATGTTTGCTCTTAACTTTAAAGAGGAGAGAGAATTTGGAGAGCTAGCTAAACATAAAAATTTATTAATTTTGGAGAGAGGTGTCAAAGGATAAGAATGATGAGAAAGATGGGTTGTTTAAAGATAAAAATATTTAGAGCTTGTAGTGTTGGAGATACTAAATTATGGGCTAAGCTAAAATGGTTTTTGCTTACACTAGCTAAACTAAATATTTTTTTTTAAAGAAACTGCTGGAGATGCTCATTCCTAGTGTTGCTAGATTATCATTTCCAAATATCAGGGCTTCAGCATCCTTTCTAATTTGCACCTTATCCCATCCCGC